TTTTTTTTTTTTCTTTTTTTTTTTTTTTTTTTTTTTTTTTTTTTGGTGAACCAAAAATTTATTTGCTCATTTCTTGCATTTGAAGTACTCTTCAATGACATCCTTGGCCTGAGATTCTTTGCCATAGTCCTTAACAACTACACAACTACAACCAACCACTTTATGGGGGTTTGCCCTCTAGGTCAATTTTACAGAAGCCTACCCATTCTCCTAGTTTCTTGTCATCATCGACCTTAATTAGATTGATTTGGTACTCAGCACAAAGGGCCTCCACCAATTTGACATCATTATAGTTGGATGCAAGCACACAGATGGGCCTGACACCTTTTCCTAGGTTTCCCGTAGAACTGGATGCCATTCGGAACTTTTGTGCTAACACCATGAACTTCATGCTTTCTTCCCTTGGCTGAAGTTTTGTTCCTGTTACAACAACCCACAGTATTGAGACTGATAAAACGTACTTGTGGAAGGCTTTGGCAGCTTCGAGAATTTCATGTGCAAGACCAGCGTGGACGAGGGCGGTCTTCAGCACCTTTTGTAAAGCAGTGTTTACATCCATTACACCTCCAGCAGTAACGCCTTCTTTGGCCATGGCAGTGGGTGGGTTATGGGTGAAGCTGAATCTTGAACAAACCTGAGCCTCCGCGAGACTCTGCAACAGCAGGGAAAGACCCCTTTTTCATTTTTTATTTTGAGATGGGGCCTTGCTAAATTGCAGTCCTCCTGCTTCTGCCTCCCAAATTGCTGGGATTATAGGCATGTGCCACAATGCCTGGCTAACCCAGCTATTTCTTGAAATGGGATTCTAGATTCCTAGCTGATCCCTCGAAATGTCATAACTTCCAAAATACTTGAGGAGCTGTTAATGGGAAACAAAAATCTGAGTGGTTAGATTTCATTATTTTTCCCCCTTTCTCTTTTTTTGGGGGGCACATACTAGGAATTAAATTCAAAGACACTCAACCACTGAGCCACATCCACAGCCCTATTTTGTGTTTTATTTAGAGAGAGGGTCTCACTGAGTTGCTTAGCACCTCACTTTTGCTGAGCCTGGCTTTTAACTCGAGATCCTTCTATCTCAGCCTCTGAACTGCTGGGATCACCACCGTGCAATACCACACCTGGCTTCCTTTTTCCTTTTTGACCCCATATCTATTTCATACTATTCATGTAGATAGTCTTAGCTTGTTCAGGCTGCTATAACAAACCACCACTGACTGGCTTACAAACAACAAAAATTTATTTCTCACAGCTCTGGATGTCAGATCAGGTTGCCTACATGGTCAGATTCTGGTGAAGGCCCCCTTGGAAGGTAGCACACTACTGACTTCTCATTGTATCTCTAGGTGATAGAAAGATAGGAGCTTTGTGAAGTCTCTTTATATGGCATTAAACCCATTCATGACCTGATTATCTCCCAAAGGCCATATATCCTAGTACTAATCATGCAGGCTGGGGATATAGCTCATTGGTAGAGCATTTACCTAACATGAGCAAGGTCCTGGGTTAAAGCCCTAGCTCCACGGAAAAAATAAACATTAATAATGCTGGCATTTTAGGATTTCAATATATGAACCAGGGACATAGAGATACAAACATTCAATCTATTAAAATAGATTTATTTTTAAGACTAAAAAGTGATAATTTGACAAAAACTATAACAGGTCTTTTTTTTATTTCCTAATTAAGTCTTTTGGTATTTTTTGATCGTTTTTAGTTATTACCCCATTCAAGTTAACAACTATGGCAATGCAGACTCCAGTCTCCAATAAGAAACCAGTATTTGATCTCAAAGCAAGTTTGTCTCGTCCCCTCAACTATGAGCCACACAAAGGTATGTGGGAGTATTTGGGGGTTAAGGGCCTATAAAACACTTAAGACAAAACAATCTGGCAGGCACTGTTTCATGTTTGTAATTCCAGTTAGGGAGATCAAAAGTTTGAGACCAGCCTCTGCAATTTATTGAGACCCTGTCTCAAAAAGTAAAAAAAAGCTAGGGATGTAACTCAGTGGTAAAGCACCCCTGGGTTCAACCCCAAATACTGCAAAAATAATCAATTTACATCTGAATTTTTTTTTTAATTATACATATTTATTTGCAATGAGAACACTTTAAAGCTACTTTAAGAATATGTCAACTATAGTCATTAAGTTGTATAACACACATCTCTGACCAAAATTTTATGGCCTTTACCCAACATCTTCCCAAACCCCCCATAACCACCACTCTACTCTGCTTCTGAGTTCAGTTGTTTTAGATTCTGCACTTAAGTGAGAACATGCAGTATTTATCTTTGTCATCTGGCCTGTTTCACTTAGCATAATGTTCTCTAATTCTACCCATGTTGTTGCAAATGATAAGATTTTTTTTTTTTTTTGGTACCCGGAATTGAACTCGGGGGCACTCGACCACTGAGCCACATCCCCAGTCCTATTTTGTATTTTATTTAGAGAGAGGGTCTCACTGAGTTGCTTAGCGCCTCGCTTTTGCTTAGCGCCTGGCTTTGAACTCGAGATCCTCCTACCTCAGCCTTCCAAGCCGCTAGGATTACAGGCATGAGCCAAAATGCATGTCTATGCCACATTTTCTTTATTCATTCATCTACCTATGGATACTTAGGTTGATTCTATAACTTGGCTATTGCGAACAGTGCTCTGGTGAACATGGGAATGCAGATATCTCTATGATAGATTGATTTCAAATCTTTGGGATACCTAGAAATAGGAATTGCTGAATCTGGTCTCAGTCCTAATGCCAACAAAATATTCCCATTCTATTCTGAATCCATTTTAATAAGTAACGGTTATGACAAAATAGATTAAAATGAATTAATATTAAACCTAATTCGTATGTAATCTTGGGATAAGATACTTGGTTGTAATGGCTTCTTTTAATATGCTAGGTAATTGGATTCAGCATTAAGGGAATTTTTTTTGTACTAAGATTTTTTTCAGTCTGAGCATATAGCTCAATGGTAGAGTATTTGTCTAGCATGCATGAAACTGGCCTTCATCCTCAGCACAGAAAAATGAAAAAAAAATTCTGTAACTTTCTAAGGTTTATAAAAATCACACATTTGTATTTTTTTTTAGTTGTAGATGGACATAATACCTGTATTTATTTATTTATTTATGTGATGCTGAGTATCAAACTCAGGGTCTCACATGTACTGATAAGCTAGTGCTCTACCACTGAGCCACAACCTTAGCCCCACGTTTGTATTTTGCTGTTGTTTGAGTCTCAGATCTTATTATGTTACTCGGGCTGTTCTTGAGTTTATGAGCTAAAAACTATCCTCCTGCCTCAGATTCCAAAGTAGCTGGAAACTATAGGTATGTGACACTGCGCCCAGCACATATTTTTATTTTTAGAGGAAAAATATGATTTGTATTTGTGGAGTGTGAAATGAAAATAAATGACAGAATATACTTTTGGAACATACTGGAAAATGTCTATAAAGCAAAGTATAGACACTGGTAGGAAACACGTAGCTACAAATGAAGACAATAAAGTTGGGAATACAAATAAAAGAATCTCAAAACTGTGTCTTGGTCCTTAACTAGGAAAGCTGAAACCATGGGGGAAATCTAAAGAAAATAATTCTCTGAATGAACATGTGGACAGAGTTACGTTCCATAAGAAAACCTATAAACAACCTCATCTCCAGACCAAGTGAGTACATAATTATCCACTTTTATAATTTTTCTAATTTCAAAAAGACAATAGCCGCACTTAGTAGTGCCTGCTTGTAATCCCAGGCAAGAAGGCTGAGGCTGAGGCTAATTTGTCCAGGCCAAGTTTTAGCCCGGCCTGGACAAATTAGCAAGATGGTGTCTCAAAACATTAAAATAGGACTGGGGATGTAAGCCAGTGATGGAGCACTTACCTAGCATGTGCAAGGCACTGAATTCAGTTCCCACTGCTGCAAAAGCAAAAGAATAAAAACAGTGTACAAAAGCTCCTCTGGGGGATACTGTCAGTAATAGCACGTTTAAGGTTAGAAGTAGAATGTCTTAACCCATTTTGTGTTGCTGTAACAAAATACCTGAGACCAGATACTTTATATAACAGTCTACTCCCTCAAGCCCTAACCCAACTCACTTCCAGGAGATGTGCATTAATTCCAAGGGTGTACCACCTTGACCCAATTACCCCCTCTTAAAGTTTATGCCACCTCTCAATACCATTGTACTGGGGACAAAAACTCTAGCATGTATGTGATCTTTTTTGTGTGTTGTGTTTGTGTGTGTCTGTAGTACTGGGGATCAAACCTAGGGCTTTGTGCACGCAAGGCAAGCACTCTACCAACTGAGCTATATCCCCAGCCCATGTGTGATCCTTTATGTAGGACAAATATCCAAACCATAGCATGGAATCACCTATAAAACTTTCTAGAAGTACCTGAGCTGAGGTCTAGCGTAGCAGATCTCAAATCAGAAGAGTTGGGATGAGACCCAAATATCTGCATTGTTTTAAAGGCTCTACAAGTGTTACAGAATAAGCAGATTCAAAGATTGCTCTTGTATAACCTATCCTCCCAAGCAGTGCTTATGAATATCCCTCCAGACACCAATGCTCAAGCACCCAGGGCACCTGCATATGCAGATAGATAGATGTAAATTCCTCACTCCTCAAGACCCCAGGTTTATGAGGTATGAAGGTCTTATTCAAGAAAAACCCAGTATAGTCCTTACTGACTTCCTTGTGTTTGAAAACCAGGTTAAAACTGGGGCTCATGCTAGGCTTTAGCTGCTCTTGGATGAGTACAGATTCCCTGTCTGGAACTTTCCTATAAATGTGACTCTTGCTTATATCTACCTTCCATGAAGGCTGTTACTAACTGTATTTGTTGTTAAGATAGTTAACATTGCAGAGCATGGTGGTGCATGCCTGTAATCCCAGCAGTTTGGGAGGCTGAGAAGGAGGATCACAAGTTCAAAGCCAGTCTCAACAGTGAGGAACTATTTAGCTCAGTGTGACCCTGTCTCTAAACAAAATACAAAATATGGCTGGGGATGTGGCTCAGTCACCGAGTATCCCCAAGTTCAATCTCTGGTACCCCCCCCCCAAAAAAAAAGATAGTTAACATGGTCCCTGGGCTTTTTATTTCTCTTTGCCTTATCCTCTTTAGAAAAAACAAAAACAAAAAAAAAGCATAGTAGCTTAAGTCAGTAGGCTCTGGTTCTAGTTCTAGCACTTTCACTGGACACTTGTGAGCTTAACCTTTGATTCTGACATCTAGGAATCAAAATTTCTCATTTAAAACAAATTTACAAATTTTAAGGGCTGGGGTTGTGGTTCAGCAGTGGAACATTCGCCTAGCATGTGTGGGACTCTGAGTTTAATCCTCAGCACCACATAAAAAATAAATAAATAAATAGAATAAAGGTATTGTGTCCATCTACAACTCAAAAATAAATATTAAAAAAAATAATAATTTAAGTCAGGCATGGTGGCACAAGCCTGTAATCCCAGGGGCTCTGGAGGCTGAAGCAGGAGGATCACGAGTTCAAAGCCAGCCTCAGCAAAAGGGAGGCACTAAGCAACTCAGTGAGACCTTGTCTCAAAAAAAAAAATACAAAATAGGGCTGGGGATATGGCTCAGTGGTCAAGTGCCCCTGAGTTCAATCCCCCATACCAAACACACACACACACACACAAATTTTAAGATATAGGAGTTGAATTCAGTCACTAATGTACCTTCTGATTCCAGTTCCATGCATGATATTAAAATGCTGAGTTAATATTAAAAGGGAAATACCAATTTTTAGCCCTTTAGAACAATGACTAACATTTGTTAGAACTATTTCTAACATTAACAGGTAAGTAGAGAAATGCCCTGTAAGAATCTGTTTTGCATAAATATGCTAGATGTCATTTACATTTTATATTAATCCAACAATAGTTGCTCTGAAGTGCCTGTTTTGGAGCTTAATTAGAACCTACTGTATAACCTGTCCCTCCCCCATAGGGAAGAGCAGCGGAAGAAACAAGAGCAAGAACGAAAGGAGAAGAAAGCAAAGGTTTTGGAAGCTCGAAGGGGCTTCATTATACTTAAAGATGAGTAATTTGTTAATGTCCTATAAATATTCCTTTATTCTGAAATTGTTTTCTGAAATTTTGTAAATATTTTTATACTGTCTTTCCCACTTTCGTCAGAGATCTTTCTCTGTTAACTTTTATTCATAATCTATATAGCATCTATGTGTTTTTTATGTTCTGGCATTCTTTGGAATAGTGTTTATCTTAAGTCCCTGTACAGCCCAGTTTTCTCATGAGACATCTTAGAGCTTAACCTAGATCTTTAATGTCAAGCTTCTTTACTATTTCTAACATTAACAGCCTTGCTGTCCTCTATGCAATAGCATTTACCTGATGAAGCTAGTCATACCACAAGCTTAAGTAGAATTTGAACAATAAAAAGTTAACAATAAGAAAGCTGGGACCAAAAGGCCACCTCTTATCTTCTAACCTACAAAATCTAGCAATCTTGAAACTGGACTAATGGTTGCCCATATGAAAATGTTTATAATAAAGACTTCATGTCATTGCTACCTGTCATTCACTATATCCTTAAAAATAAAATTCTATATCTCATTCTAGCCTTTCATATTTAAAAATAAAAGCTATAAGCATATTTATATATAAAATCTATCAATTTTAGATGGATGGGGGTATAGCTTAGTGATAGAGCATTTGCCTAGCATGTGGCAGGTCCTAGGTTTGAGCCCCAACACACACACCAAAAAAAAAGTGTATTACTGCTTTAAGGATTAAAATGCTGTCACTGTCAAATTTGTATCTTAATAATTTTATGGAACCCGGTGCAGTGGGACACGCCTGTAATCCCAGTGGCCTGGGAGGCTGAGACAGGAGGATCTCAAGTTCAAAGCCAGCCTTAGCAAAAGCTAGGTGTTAAGCAACTCAGTGAGACCCTGTCTCTAAATGAAATACGAAATAGGGCTGAGGATATGGCTCAGTGGTTGAGTGCCCCTGAGTTCAATCCCCAGTACCTCACCCCCAAAAAAAATAATTTATGGAAAAGCCCAGCATTGCTTGGCATCATATTCTTCTTTCTTGCAATAACTACATAGAGCTTCTGTGTTATATACTGCCCAAGAACTTTATAAATAAAATTTTTTTTGTTGTGGTGGTGGATTCTTTTTAGACAAGTCATCCATGATTTGGATGATAACTAAGATCATAAGAGGTTACCTATATCCTTCATACACTTTCCTGGACCACCCACTTCTACCCCAAGAGTAAATTACTATATTCTTCCTTTTTATACTGTCTTGTCTTTATATTGTCTTACTGGTTTTTACCATAATTATTAGTTTGCATATATGTTCAGAATGTGGCACATGCCTAAAAAAATCAGATTTTCCAACAAGAAACTCCTGGATCATATACACTTCTGAGAATGTAAAATGGTACAACCCCTTTGGAAAAAAATTGCTAACACTTTAAAAAGTTGTATGTCTGTCTACTATGTTATTCAGCCATGGGACTTCTAGTTACTCAAGAAAACTAAAATCATATGTTCCTATAAAAGACTTGTATCTGAATGTTCATGTGAAGTTTTATTTGTAATAACCAAGAATTGGCAACCACTCTAATTTCCATCACAGGTGGAATGGACAAATGGGTTATATCTACACAATGGGAAACTACTTTAGAATTAAAAAAATGGAACTATTGACAAAAAGTGTAACAAATGAATCTATATGATGAGTAAAATAAACCAGACCAAAAAATAAGCATATACTATATGATCCCATTTCTAGAAAACTTTAGGAAGTGCAAACTACAGTGGTCAAAAGGGCTGGGGATGTGGCTAAGTGGTTAAGCACCACTGGGTTCAATCCCCGATACCAAAAAGAAGAAAAGCTATTAACTTTGTATATCATTTATTTGTAATTTTGGCTCTCTTATGGTACTCTGGCTATATATTCATTTCCTACCTTCTAATATGACAAAAATTGATCAAACTGAGTTAATCAGGGCCTTATTTTTAGCATGTCCAATCTCTAATACTTAAAATAACTTTGGAAGCTTTAGAGACAGAAGTCTAGTATCTAGTTTCTCCACTGATCCATCACATCAATAGTCACTATAAAGGAAGAACTAGTAAGGTTCATTTATCTTTGGAGGACAAGCTCTCTAAATCAGGTATCTCATTTCTCAGTGACTTTTATGGCATCTTTATCTTAATATCCTTGAGCAGTTTCCTTTTCTCAAAGATGAATTAGGAAATAAAAGAAACCTGCAAGGAAAGAATGGTAGAAAGCTATCAACAATGATCTCAGAGACTCTCCGCTTTGGAACCTGCCTACTCCTGTAGGAAATGTTCCTAATAGGAACATTCCGACAAAAACATTTGAGTGCCTCTACATCAGTACTTGTATTACATGAGCTAAAGCACAGCTCAGAACCTGGTTTCATGCCTTGTTCCTCTTAAGATGAGGCAAATGCTATTCTTAAGGATTATATACCACCATTCATTGGATATTGACAAATGCTTTATTTTGTCCTGGTGATGTAGCTGTGTGGTAGAGTCCTTGCCTGGCATGTGTGAAGCCCCCAGATCCCCAGCATCACTGTTACTGCTACTATCCATAGTGTAGTCATACAAAACTGCCACATGTTCTTATCTATTTGAAAAGTCTTGGGTTAAGATCTGGAGAATTTTCATAAGCAAATTCTTCTCTGTGGGCTGGATCAGCAAACACACCAATAAAATCTATTTCCAGGAAGAATGGACCATCCACTTTATCAGCCAACGTGAATCCTATAGTGGAGATCTAAATTTAAAATAAGAGAAATTGATTAAAATCTCATATGCTGACATGCTGATGTTATTCCTGAAGTTTTTAAATCGTATGAGCTGATTACTATAACTGGATCTTTGTACCATCAGCCCTTAGCAAGTATACAATAGTTCTCACAGACTGTGGAAAATTATAAGAGAAAGTATAAGAGACTGCTTTTCTTTCCACATTTCTCTTCCTGTTAGATGGTTCCACTTAAGACTTAGAGCAACATGGATGCCCAATGTAGATTCCTTGAAGTTCTTCCAAACTTGTTTTTAAAAGTTAAAATACAAACATAGAAAGAAAGAGGATCATACCAACATTCTTCCAAATAGGAGCTCAGCTCACAGATATGTCCAGATTGGTATTTAATTGAACCTAACAGGTGCCTCTGAGTAGGAATTTTTTTTTTTTTTTTTTTTTTTTTTAAAGAGAAAGAGAGATAGAGGAGAGAGAGAGAAATTTTTTAATATTTATTTTTTAGTTTTCGGCGGACACAACATCTTTGTTTGTATGTGGTGTTGAGGATTGAACCCGGGCCGCACGCATGCCAGGCCAGCGCGCTACCACTTGCGCCACATCCCCAGCCCATGAGTAGGAATTTTTATCTTTCATCTGCCAGCCGTCCAAATTGGACTGAACTCATGATCACAAGAGTTCTGTTTCATTAAAGATATCATTCTGAGTGAGAAGTATAGGAAAATGTTACCTTGTCAAGCAAAAGCTGGTACTGGGCATCCCGGATTCTTCCTTGATTTGAGAAGAAAAATTTGGAAAAAGGAATCTGAAAGAAGAAACCATTTATTTCATAAATGGAACATAAGTAATTGTGGCATCTGTATGGAGTTGCAACAGTAAGAAAATAGTTTAAATTTTTATATACAGTTATGAGGAGTAGCCAGCCACTTGGATCAAAGGTGATCATTTTTTTAAACTATTATTTGCAGTGCTGGTGTGTTGAATGCAGGGTCTCTCAAATATTAGGCAAGCACTCCACCTCTGAATTATAACCCAGTCCAAAGGCAGAAATTTTTTTAAAATAACTACTAGAAGAAAATAGTGAAAACTTTCTAAGCCAGAAGTCCAAAAGAGTACAAATTAAAATTCTGAGAGCAAAAGACAAAGGATAAACTAGGAAATAATACTGTAACATTTAAGAACAAGAGTGTAATATCCTAAACACAGCTTTTACAAATATCTTAAAAAAGATTACATAAACAAGTGGAAAAACAGATGGGGAGAAATAGGCACACATTTTTACAATTAGTAGGAGGGCGACTTAGTACTACTATTTGAGAGGGCAGCTGGCAATTGTGATAGGAAGTTTCAAATCAGTTCATCTTAATATAGGGAGATTATTCTTTGCAGACTTGACAATCATTTGAACCCATAAAAGGGAATAGTGAAACAAATTAGCAGCATGAGAAACAATGGTAGGGAGATTCTCCATTGCTGGCTTTGAAGATAGTGATAGGAACTTAGATGCTTCTGCAAGGAATGCCAGCAGCATCTAAGAGCTGGGAGCAGCACCCCCTTGACAGCAAGAAAAAACTTGCTGTCTACAATCATAAGGAACTTAATTTGGCTAAGAACCAGAATAACCTCTACAAAGTGCATTCTGCCCACAAGCTACAGAAAGAAACAGCCCTGCTGACTGACACCTTCAGTTCAGCCTTATAAGAACTGAGCATGGGCCAAATGTGGCCTGTAATCTCAGCACTCAGGAAGTTGAGGCTGAAGGATAGCAAGTTCAAGGCCAGCCTGAGCAACTATCACAAAATAAAAAATAAAGGGCTGTGGATAGTTCAGTGATATAGTGCCCTTGGGTACAATCCCCAATTTGAAAAAAAGAAAAAAAAACAGAACTAAGGATGCAACAGTCATACATATTCCAATTTATGACCTACTGATCTATAAATTAATGAGTGTGTTGTTTTAATCTTCTACATTTATAATTTGTTATGTAGTATCAGAAAACTAATTCAATGACATCTAGCAAATTTTGAAATGCCATAACTTTGCCATATCAACTTCACTTTCAGGAATTTATATTACAAATAAGCTCCAAGAAATACATAAAGGTATAGTTTTTTCCTAATAGTAACAACAACAACAACAGCAAAGCTAAATTATGGTATAGCCATACAATTGAATATATGGGCTATTGAAAAAATGAAGTAGATCTATATAGGATACAATTGCTTCACTGCAATATGAAGACCTCTGTGATGTCTTATGAGTAAGAAAACAAGATACAGACAAAATCTGGACTGGGGTATATAGCTCAGTGATATAACATGTGCTTAGTTAGCAGCATGAGGGCCTGGGTTAAAATTCCAACACAAAAGAAAGAAAAAGAAAGGGATAAAATCTATAATATAAGCTTGGTTTTTTGGGTTTTTTCTTAAAGGCCTTATGATGTAGGGGTATAGATCAGTAGTAATGTGTAAGCCTATTATGTGTGAAATTCTGGTGGGTTCAATCCCCAGCACCACCAAAAAAAAAAAAAAAAAAAATTACTATAAGTAAATACTGAGATCTAAAAACTTGCATGCTAAAAAGTTTAGGGATGAGATGTACTGATATTGATAAAAGATGGATTGAGAAATGAGTAGTAGGAAGAATGGGTAAATAAAATAAAGTGATGAAACAAACACAACCAAATATTTTTTGAAAAAATCCAGGTGGTACATGGTAGCTATCTGGATACTCACTGTAATTTTTTATGTATGTTTGAATATTGTCATTAAAAATGTTAAGGAAAATAACAAAATTATTCATATACAAATATGTGTATG